GCGACATAGCCATTATGCTAACTGCTGGTCCCAAATAAAAATGATTTTAAAAAATAAATTTTAAATAGAAAAAAAAAATTGAGACCAGCAGGTGATGTGGTGGATAATGCACTGGACTCCCATAAGGTTGACCATGGTTCAAGTCCCAGACCTGGGGGCTTGCTTTCTCACTTTTCTTCTCTATCTCTGTCTTTCTATAAAACTTTCACAGAAGAGTTAACCCCGTTCTGCTCAAGTTATTTCTAAAGATCCAAAAGGGTGAATCTCTCCCTAATTCATTCTATGAAACCTCTATCACCCTTATCCTTAAATCTGATAAGGATAGGATAAAATTAAATAATTAAAAATAATATTTAATACAATTCAATAATTCTTTTTTTTTTAGAATTACTTTATTTAACTTTATTTTATTTATTTTAATTTGACCAGAGAGGGACAGAGAGAGAGAGAGAAAGTGAGAAAGGAAGCCGCCAGGACTGGGACTTGAACCATGGTTGGCCATGCCGGAGTCCAGCACCCTTATCCACCACACCACCTGCCAGCCCCTGCAATTAAATAATTCTTTAAAAATGATTAAAACTAAATTTTGTATTATGTTTTGTTTTGTTTTTTTTGAGAGGTTATTGCTATAGGGCGTGTGAGCTCGCCAGAAAGACAGAGAGACAGAAAGCAAGAAATCACCTCCCAGGGGGGATGGACACGCTGCAATCCCTTCTCCTCCTTTCTCCTCTCAGGATCTTGGGCATACACGCATAAGCGCCTGGCGTGAGTTTAAGCCACCGGGTCCAGGACTCGAACCAAAGTCGACTTCATGGGAGTTCAGCAACATAGCCATTACGCTAACTGCTGATCCCTGTATTATGTACTTTTTAAAAATAATTATTTTATTTCATTTATTATCATCATTATTTATTTAATTTGACTAGAGAGACACATAGAGAAAGGGAAAGTAGGAAAGCAAGCCTCCAGGTCTGGGACTCGAACTGTGGTCAGCCATGTGAGAGTCCAGCATCCAAACCACCATGCCACCTGCCAGCCCCTGTATTATGTACATTTTATTACAATGAAAAAATCCAATGAGGATGGATGAGTATTGCATTTGAATAAAGCATTACATATGTATACTCTTCAATGAATACATTTCCTAGACTTTTTTTTTTTCTTTTAAGAGAGATTTTTGGTATAGGGCGTGTGTACTCACCAGAATGATAGAGACAGATAGTGGGGGGACCAGCCGTTGGAGTAATGGCTATGTCCATTGACTCTATGTAGCTGACTACGGTTCGAGTCCTGGACCCGGTGGCTTAAACTCACGCCGGGTGAATGTGTGTGTGCCCAAGATCCTGAGAGGAGAATGGAGGAGAAGGGATTAGGGTGTGGCCATGCCCCCTGGGGGGTGATCTCTCACTTTCTGTCTTTCTGTCTCTCTCTGTCTTCTCGCTTTCTGTCTCTCTGTCTCTCTCTGTCTTTCTGACGGGCACACATGCCCTATAGCAAGAAACTCTCAAAATAAAAAGAAAGAAAGACAGAAACTTAGAGCGATAGAAAGCAAGAAATCACTCCCCAGGGGGCATGGCCACGCTGCAACCCCTTCTCCATTCTCCTTTTGGGATTTTGCCCACACCCCACACCCACACACACACTCCTGGCATGAGTTTAAGCTACTGAGTCCAGGACTTGAACCACAATCAACTACATGGGAGTCCAGTGACGTAATCATTACACCATCCGCTGGTCCTGACCCTTTTGTTTTCTAATGTATGTGGGAGCCTTGAGTGAATAGAGGTTACCTACCAAGAACATTTTCCTTTTTTTTGAGAGGTTTTTGCTATAGGGTGTGTGCGCTTACCAGAAAGAGAGACAGAGAGACAGAAAGCGAGAAATCACCCCCCAGGGGGGATGGCCACACCCTAATCCCTTCTCCTCCCTTCTGTTCCCGGGATCTTGGGCACTCTCGCATGCACACGCTCCTGGAGTGAGTTTAGGCCCCCGGGTCCAGGACGCAAATCGCAGTGGACTATATGGGAGTCCAGCGACATAACCATTATGCTAACTGCTGGTCCCCCTACCAAGAACATTTTCCTAATGACAGGCTGCGACTCTGGCCTTAGAGCCTGTCTTCCTCTCTTAATTCTTAGATTTCCTGCTGTACTTCGGGAAGAATATGGTAGGCCGAATGCCTGACTGCTCTGTGGCCTTGCCTTTTCCATCCATCTCCAAACAACATGCAGTGATTGAGATCGTGGGCTGGGACAAGCCACCTGTCCTCCAGGATTGTGGGAGCCTCAATGGCACTCAAATCCTGAGGCCTCCTAAGGTTCTGAGCCCTGGGGTAAATTATCGTCTGAAGGACCAGGATTTGATCGTCTTCGCGGACGTGCCCTGCCAGTACCATCGCCTGGCTGTCCCCCTGTCTGTTGTCTCCCGGGGCCCTCTAACTGTCGAGGAGACACCCAGGGTACAAGAAGGAGCTCAACCCCAGAGGCTCCTGTTGGCTGAGGATTCAGAGGAGGAAGTAGGTAAGTTCGTATATTAGGAAAGGGGAGTAAGGAGATGGGAATGAATGTCAGTTTGTAAGTTTACTCCTTTCTTTTCTTGACAGATTCGCTTTCTGAAAGGTGTGCAGTGAAACAATCAAAGACCACGTCCTCCCGCTTGTCGATGGTAGTTCCAGAGAGGTGGGTGCCAGAGGGCCAGACACCTGAGTTTGCACAAGGAGGGAGAACCAGGGCTTGGAAGATGAATTACCAAGAGAAATAGCTGTCATGCAAGTTGGGGCTGGGGAACCGAGTCACTCTATTTTGTTGATTGATTGATTGATTGATTTTGCAATAGGGTCTGTGCACTTGCCAGAGAGATAAAGAGAAAAAGAGAAAGTGAGAACTCACTCCCCAGGGGGAATGGCCATGCCACATCCCTTTTTTAAAATACAAAGCAAAACTTTACTGTCTATTAATAAAATATAACCCTGGGTATGGTCTTAGAACAGGCAAGATACGAGTTTGAAGAGAGCAAGGATTGGAGAAGAACTGCACACACTCCTCATAAAATGAAAAATTTCACTCACAATAGGGAACATCTTAATGTTGAGGAACTAACGATCTTCCTGCTTAAAAACCAAATGGCACAGAAGTTCTGGACGAAAGTGCTCTACTTAACAATGGGAAACTCCAGCCTCAGTACATAGGTGTTTGGCTTTTCTTTTCTTTTTTTTTTTTTTTTTTTGGAGAGGTTTTTGCTATAGGGCACGTGCGCTCGCCAGATAGAGAGGGACAGAGAGACAGAAAGCGAGAAATCACCCCCTGGGGGCATGGCCATACCACAATCCCTTCTCCATTCTCCTCTCGGGATCTTGGGCATACACACACACACATGTGCCCAGCGTGAGTTTTAAGTTGCTGGGTCCAGGACTCAAACCGTGGTCGACTGTATGGGAGAATCCAGCTACATAGCCATTACGCTAATTGCTGGTCCCATGTTTGACTTTTCTTTTTTAATTATGTATTTATTTTATCTTATTTGTTATTTTATTTACTTTTTTGGAGAGGTTTTTGCTATAGGGCATGTGCCCTTGCCAGAAAGACAGAGACAGAAAGTGAGAAATTACCCCCCTGGGGGTATGGCCATGCCACAGTCCCTTCTCCTCCACTCTCTTCTCGGGATCTTGGGCACGCATGCACACGTACCCAGCATGAGTTTAAGCCATCGGGTCTGAGACTCAAACCGTGGTCAACTACATGGGAATCCAGCAACATAGCCATTATGCCAACTGCTGGTCCCTGTTATTATTATTTTTTAAATTTGACCAGAAAGAGGCAGAGAGAAAGGGAAAGTGAGAAAGCAAACCACCAGGTCCAGGACTCAAAACACAGACAGCCATGTGGAAATCCAGTGCCTCAATGACCATGCCACCCACTGGCCCCATTGTTTGACTTTTTCAACTTTTCATTTGACTCAAGAAGACCATTACTCAATTAAAGGTGTTCGCAAAGATGATTTAAGGGCCCATATCAACCACTGTTTCCAAATGCAGAATCTACCTTTTCTCTTTCTTTCTCTTTTTTCTTTTTCTTTCTTTCTTTTTTTTTTTTGAGAGAGACATTTTTGCTATAGGGCATGTGCATGCACTAGAGAGGCAAGAGAGACAGAAAATGAGAAATCACCCACTGGAGGGATGGCCATGCCACAATCCCTTCTCCTCAAATTTCATCTCGGGAGGGCACGCATGCATGCGCACCCAGTGTAAGTTTTAGGCCACTGGACCCAGGACTTAAACTGTGGTCAGCTATGTGGGAGTCCAACAATGTAACCATTATGCCTTATGCTAATCCCTCTTGTTCTTTTTCTTTTTAAAGAGGGTTTTTCCATAGGTGCATGTGCTTGACAGAGACATTGAGAGGGAAAGTGAGAAATCACCCCCCAGGAGGATGGCCACACTGCAGTTCCTTCTCCATTCTTACACACACACACCCAGCGTGATTTTCAAGCCACCGTGTCTGGGACTTGAACCATGGTCGGCCATATGAGCGACCAGCACCGTAATTGCTACACCATCTGCTAATCCCATTGTTTTGTTTTTTAAATAATTTTTTATTTTATTTTATTGTTAATTTGCTATAGGGCACATGTGCTCACCAGAGAAAGAGAGAGAAAGTGAGAAAGCAAGCCACCAGGTCTGGGACTTGGACCGTGGTCGGCCATGAGGGAGTCCAGTGCCCTTAACCAACATGCCACCTGTTGACCCTGTATTAGTAATCTTGCTTTAAACCAAGAATGGTGGCCCAGAAGGCGGCCTGGTAGCTAAGGTGCTGGACTCTTAAATGGTCAACTGCTGTTTGAGTCCCAGACTTGGCAGCCTGCTCTCTTATTTTCCCTCTCTCTTTCTCTAGTGAATGAAAAAATAATAGTAATAAATGAAATTAAATAATTTAAGAACAAAAAGCAGAACAAATGCTCCCATCCTTTTTTTAAATAATTATTTAATTTTATTTATTCATTTATTTATTTTAATTTGACCAGAAGAGACGCAGAAAGAGAAAGTGAGAAAGCAAGCCACCAGTTCTGGGATCCAAACCGAGGTTGGCCATGTGAGAATGTCCAGCACCTTGGCTACTATGCCACCTGCTGGTTCCAACAAATGCCCAATGTTGCGGACATCCCAGCCATGGTAACTTAGGTGTGTATTAGAAGTTGGCAGGGTTATGGGACCAGCAGTCAGCATAATGGCTATGTTGCTGAACTCCCATGTAGTCAACTGCTGTTCGAGTCCCAGACCCGGTGACTTAAACTCACACCAGGCACGTGTGTGTGTGTGCCCAAGATCCTGAGAGGAGAGTGGAGGAGAAGGGATTGCGGGATGGCCATCATCCCGGAGGTGGGGGGGGCGTTGATTTCTTACTTTCTGTCTGTCTTTCTGGCGAGTGCACGCACCCTATAACAAAAACAAAAACAAAAAAGAACTTGGCAGGGTTTGCCCTGATAACACATTCTTTGTGGATATCACTGAGAAGGTGATTTTAATTCAGGAAATGTGTTTTTCATTGTTTTCATTGTTTTTTTTAGTATTGGAATTAAGTAATGTAAATTCCTTTGTAAAAGATAAAAATGCTTTCTTCTCCAAAATATGCTTAACATACCTGAAAGTCAGATAGATGTTTGATGTCCAAGTCCTGACCTCGCCTGTTAGGATTCAGCATTAACTGATAAGATGCTCAAGGCTGCCTTAAAGGATCACATGCCAGAGAATGTTTTTTTTTTTTTTCCAACAATTTCATTAGCTATGCTGCCTGGGAACTAGAATATGAAATGTCCTTTGAATGTTATGGTCATGTTTTCAAGCCTGAAGTGAAATAAATATGTACTTAAAAGGAAAACAAGAGTATCTGAAATGAGGGCTAGCAGGTGGCTCTGGACAGTCCCACATGGCCAACCACAGTTTGAGTCCTGGACCTGGTGCCTTGCTTTTTCATTTTCTCTCTCTCTCTCTCTTTCTCCCTCTGGTCAAATTCAAATAAATAAATGAGGGACCATCAGGTGGCATGGTGGTTAAGAACGCTTGGACACTCTCACGTGGCTGACTACGATTTGAATCCTGGACCTGGTGGCTTGCTTTCTCACTTTCTCTCACTCTCTGTCTCTCTGGTCAAATTAAAAATAAATGAATGAATCAAGAATGTTAAAATAATAATAAATAAATAAATAAAATTAAGTAAATTATTAAAAAAAAAAAACCTGGAATGATCCCACCTAAGTCAAGGGCATAGAGTTACCATGTGAATAGAAAGGTGAGTCCAGGGGTCAGCATGTGGCATAGTAGTTAAGGGCACTTGACTCCCACATGGCCAACTGCAGTTCAAATCCCAGACCTGGAAGCTTGCTTTCTCACTCTCCCTCTCTCTCTGTCTTTCTTTGGTTAAATGAAAAATAAACTAATTAATTAAATTAATAGCTCTTTTTTTTTTTTTAAAGAGAAAATGGGGGACCAGCAGGTAATGTGGTTAAGGGCACTGGACTCCCATACAGCTGACCACAGTTCGAATCCTGGACCTGGCGGCTTGCTTTCTCGCTTTCTCTCTCTGGTCAAATTAAAATAAAGAAAGTTAAATAAAATAATTCTTTAAGGAAAAAAAAAAAGACAGATACTATCTTGTGTCTGTCCTCAAGGAGTTCAAGGCTGAGTGGGGTATTCTTTCCTGTGAAATAGATTCCTAAGACTCTTTCTCTTCTCCCTTTGCAGTGATGAAGAGGAGTCTTCCCCTGCCCGGGGTGGCCCTCGATCACCTTTTGCCTTCAACTTGAACAGTGACACAGATGAGGACGAAACTCAGCAACCGCCAGCAGGTGAGGCCACTTCAGCTGTCAGAAGAGGTACTACTGCAGATGTGCACCGTGAAGCTGATAGAGTTGCAGCTGAAATCCAGCTCAAAGAGGCTCAGCCTTCGGCAAAGGAGCAGGACAGTGACACAAAAGCTAAGAGAGATGCGAGGCATGGAGCGGTTCCAGTTGAGGCGGTTGTGGAAAGGAGCCAACCTCCTGGGGAGGACAGTGATACTGATGTGGAAGGTGGGAGCAGGAGCCCTGGAAGGCCAGCAGAAGTCCACGTGGAAAGGGCCCAGCCCGGCGGCCTCATCGACAGTGATACTGATGTGGAAGAAGAGGGAATCCCGGCTACGCCAGCTGTAGTTCCCATGAAGAAGAGGCAAATCTTCCATGGAGTGGGTACAAGAAATCCTGGCTTGGCACCTCTGCAGGAACGCCAGGCTGGAGATGATCCAGATGTGAAGGAGGGCAGGGCCCCACTGGTCGTCCCTCTGGAGAGAAGCCACACCTCCGTGGTGATCAACAGCGACACAGATGACGAGGAGGAAGTCTCGGCAGCGCTCACTCTGGCATGTCTGAGAGAGAGCCGAGCTGTGCTGTGGAACAGAGGTACAGATGTGGACGAGAACAGAGCCCACTCTGCGGTCCCTCTGGAGCAAAACCAGGGCACTCCTGGGAGAGAGAGTGACACAGACGTGGAGGAGGACGGGCTCCCCATGCAGATGAGAGAAATGGTCTGCAGGCGTCACACAGACAAGGATGGAGCCTGTGTTGCAGCACATTCAGAACAGCGCCCCCCTGCTCTTGGCGACAGTGCTGTAAATAGGGAAGCAGGGATGAGCTCAGCGGGGAGCCACCTAGAGAGAAGCCCAGCCTCCACCGCAGGAGACAGCCACACAGCAGTGGGGGTGGAAGCCCCACCAGGGCCAGGTGTCACTCCTCTGTACAAGCATCAGGTGTCTGTAGAGGAGACAGATCAAACAGATGTGGAAGTAAGGTGTGCCCCCCCAGAGCTGCCTGTGATGCCTCTAGAGCGAGCTCGGCCTTGTCCAGACGGGGACTGTAAAACAGATGTGGAGGAGGGCACACCCTTGGCAACCTCAGCAGCGGCAGGTCTGAGAGAGAAGCTTCCGGAGTGGGCTGCGGCTGTTCTTGAGCAGGAGAGGGCTCTTGAGGTAGGGGCCCAGGGAGGGTCACCTGTGGCACAAGTGGAGCGGGACCTTATCCCTGTCTCAAGGGAGAGCCCCACAGAATTGGTGGTGGACACAAGCACTCCTGGGGGACCCGCCCAGCCACAGAGAGAGGGAGCCCAGACCCCCACAGGAAGGGAGAGAGAGCCACATGTGGGCGGGACCAAGGACTCTGAAGACAGCCGTGACGGTAAGTGCTGACCTTTCTTTTTCCCTTGACCCCCGAAATGAACAGTGGTTCTGAGGGCTGGGGTTGAGAAGAGAGTAGTAGGGAATAAAATAAGGAATCAAGACTCAGATATGACTGTTTTGTCATCTATGCTGTGTTCCTCTCCCACCAGATTTTGAAGATCTGGACCTTCAAGCTACCCAGTGTTTTGTGGAGAGAGAGAATGGCAGCCCGGAAGGTGAGGACGTCTGTGTTTGAATCTCAGTGCCGGCAGGCGCCGAGAGATTAGACTGGTGGTCTTTGAAGGTGTGAAGGCTGGCGTGGGTAGGGCAGGAGGTGGGAGCAGGACTTGCAGTTCTGTGGAGGAGCCGTGCTTAGGCCGCCTTGTTTTCTGCAGCAGCCCAGAGCACGGAGGATGAACCCACCCAGGCCTTCTTGTCCACTCTGCCTGAAGAGCCTGGCCCTTCCCATTGCAGCGTCCAGACCCCAGGTACCAGACCCCAGGCCCCCTCCTCTGTACCTTCAGCTTCCCATCCTTTCTTGTTTTCTCCCTCTGAGTCCTTAGGCTGTCCTGATGATGTTTCTCTATCTTATCAGAAAAAAAATGTATTGAGTCAAGCCCATAGACCAGCACGTCCAGTTATTTCTTTAAGTTCATTTGTTTTATTCATAATGGCATGTACAGAGAGAGACCCTCGACAGAGTCTTATTCCACTATGATCCCCTTCCTCTGGCCCTTCAGCTTGTCAGGATCTTGGCATGTTCTCAGGCCCTCTCAGGGATCGGCTCCCATAGCTGGCCGTGGGCGCCCAGCACTGCAGATCAGTGTGCCGCTGGCTGTGCTGCCAAGCTGGGCATACTGGTCAGACAGTGCATGCTCTTGCCAGAGGAGAGAGAGGAAGTAACCTCTAATGCTGTGCAGTCACACCACAGTCCTTTTCTTCTGTTTCTCCATCCTGGGAGGATTTTAGGCAGGCAGACACATGCGCCCAGCATGTTGTTCAAGCCACAGGGGCTAGGGTTTGAACTGTATGGTTGACCATCTGGCATCCAGTGCCCTATGCACAGGGCTTAGCTGCTGTGCTGTGGAGCCAGCCCTGAGCCTAGATCTTTTTTTTTCCAAAAAGAATTATTTAACTATTTATTTTATTTTGACCAGAAAGGGACAGAGCTAGAGAGAGAAGGAAAGTGAGAAAGCAAGCTGCCAGGTCTGGGACTCAAACTGTGGTTGGCCATGTGGGAGTCTGGTGCCCTTAACCACCACACTATCTGCCAGCCCCAAGCTTAGATCGTTTTTAAAGAGGTCGCTGAGGGAGCTTTCATATGAGGGTATGGCTTTTCTTGATAGAAATATCACTCACTTATTATTTATGAATGTTTATCTTAATTCTTTTCAACCTTTTACCATGTTAGCTTGTACATTTCTCTCTCTCACTCACTGCATCTCTACTTCCAGGTACCCTGGATGAGCCATGGGAGGTCTTGGCTACACAGCCGTTTTCTCCAAGAGACTCAGAGGGCTCTGAGACCCAGCCTATCGCTGCCTACCTGGAGGCCCATGGATCTCACCCATCTTCACCCACAGCAGCACCATCAGACCAACCTGCAGAGAGCCCCATTCACAAAGAGTCTTTGGAGCTTCACGGCAGAGGGGGGCAGATTGCAGAGAAAGACAGGGGTACACCAGAAACAGTGGAGAAGGTGACCCCCGAGAAACGGCTGTTGGAGAGGGAAACCAAGAAACTGCCACCGAAAGGAGAGAGAGAAGTGAAGGCAGAGAAAGGGTTAAGCAAAAGGATGCAGAGCAGAAAGCGAAAACGGGAGTTAGCTACAGACACACGAAGACCAGAGGCGGACGAAAAGGTGGAAAGTTCAAGTCATGAAAAGGCTAGAGAGAGTCTGAAGGTGGAAACTGAGACCAAGGGTATCCAAGAGAAGGAAATGGAGACGCAAACCCTTGCAAGAGAAGTATGTGAGAGAGACGTAGAGAAAGCAGTACCCAAGAGAGAGAGAGCGCCACCTGGGTTAGACGTGACGGTGCCCAAAGTGATACCGGAGACGGGCGAGGGGAGTCAGGGCCAGCAAAGGCAAGCCTCCAGCCCAGTGCCAGAGCCTGAGGTGGAGGCCGAGGACCCTCAGGGAACTGCTTCTGGAAGCCAGTCAGGCGGAAGAAGGGGCGGTCCTGTGAGACCAAGGAGGCAGCAGAGAGGTAAGTGAAGGAGCACGAACCCGGGGTGGCACAGAGGCCTCGTGACAGGCAACCCCTGAGCAACCGGCTGCTCAGAGCTCAGCCGTTTTGTGGTCGCTTTCTCTAGGTCGTAGGAACTGCAAGGCGCCGCCTGCCACGAAGGCTTCCAGGGTGAGCTGTTTTCTGTGCCTCCCCACTCCCTAGTCAGCGCCTTGTCCCCTCCAGTGCCCCTGTCCTGGCCTCGCTTTAACCAGGTTCTTCCCCACTTTGTCCATTTTCGCCCACTTTCTCAACTCCTCAGCTGGCGTGTCTCCCTTTCCTTTGGGGCCCGTTCTTTCTCATATGCGTTTCCCGAGCTGTGTGTCCCCTACCTGATGCAGTCCCTTTCCTCATGTCCCTTCCCTCTTTGCCCCAGCCATCATTTTCGCCCTCGTCGTCCATGTGTGGGGAACACTGCACTGACATTAAGGGGAGAAGGTCACGGTCCCAGGAAGCTTTTGGTCTAGTGGAATGGGGTCACGGGCGGGAAGAGCAGAGCCAGCGCATGTACTTGAACCGTAAACAAGCGTCCGAGCAGCTTTGACTTTGACCTCTCTGCTGTCCACCTCTTCCTCCCTCACTTGTTTCTTTTTCTCCCCAGGGTGCTCAGGGCCCCCCAGATGCTTGTCTGCCTTCTACAGTGGCCGAAGCCTCGGCCCCACCCCCAGGCCCCCTTATCTCTCAGAGCCAAGAGCATCCTGCCCCTCAGTCCGTTTCCTCTCCACCTTCTTTCAAGCCTCCCATCTCAAGGACCAGGCAAAATGAGAGTCAGGAAGCTCCAGAGACTTGCTCATCCTCTGCACTGGAGCCTTTCCACCCAACACCTCAAGTCAGGGCCAGGGTGACACCCTCTCCAGTTCCCCACTCCACCCCCACAGACCAGCCTGTGCCCCCTGAGCCCACACCTCGGGCCACCCAGGGCAGGACACAGAGGTCCTCTGCCCAGACCCCTGACCCAGGTGAACCCACAGCCCCTGAGCTCCAGCCTTCCACTTCCAAAGACCAACCTGTCACCCCTGAGCTCACATCTCAAGCTGCCCAGGGCAGGACACGGAGGTCCTCTGTCAAAACGCCTGACCCAGTTGAGCCCACAGCCCTTTCCACCCCCTCAGATCAGCCTGTCCCCCCTGAGCCCACACCTCGGGCCACCCGGCGCAGGACACAGAGGTCCTCTGCCCAGACCCCTGACCCAGTTGTCCCTGCAGCCCCTGAGCTCCAGCCTTCCACTTCCAAAGACCAGCCTGTCACCCCTGAGCCCACACCTCGGGCCACTCGGGGCAGGACACGGAGGTCCTCTGTCAAAACCCCTGACCCAGGTGAACCCACAACCCCTGAGCTCCAGCTGTCTGTTTCCAAAGACCAGCCTGTCACCCCTGAGCCCACACCTCGGGCCACCCGGGGCAGGACATATAGGTCCTCTGTCAAGACCCCTGAACCAGTTGTCCCCACAGTCTCTGAGCTTCAGCCTTCCATATCCAAAGACCAATCTGTCACCCCTGAGCCCACACCTCGGGCCACTCGAGGCAGGACACAGAGGTCCTCTGCCAAGACCCCTGAACCAGTTGTCCCCGCAGCCCCTGAGCTCCAGCCTTCCACCCCCACAGGCCAGCCTGTCACTCCTGAGCCCACACCTCGGGCCACTCGAGGCAGGACCCAGAGGTCCTCTGCCAAGACCCCTGAACCAGCCGTCCCTACAGTCCCTGAGCTCCAGCCTCCCACCCCCACAGACCAGCCTGGCATCCCCAAGCCTATACCTGGGGAGACTCAAAGGAGGGTACAGAGGTCCTCTGTCAAGACCCCTGACCTAGTTGAATCCACAGCCTCTGAGCTCCAGCCTTCCAGTTCCAGAGACGAACCCGTCACCCCTGAGCCCACATCTCAGGGCAGGACACAGAGGCCCTCTGCAACCTGGCCTCCGGCCTTCCCCCCCCACAGCCCAGCCTGTCACCACTGAGGCTAGGACATCTGGAGACACTGAGGTCAGGACACATAAGTCCTCTGTCAAAAATCCCAAACCAGCCGTCCCTACAGTCCCTGAGCTCCAGCCTCCCACCCCCACAGACCAGCCTGGCATCCCCAAGCCTATACCTGGGGAGACTCAAAGGAGGGTACAGAGGTCCTCTGTCAAGACCCCTGACCTAGTTGAATCCACAGCCTCTGAGCTCCAGCCTTCCAGTTCCAGAGACGAACCCGTCACCCCTGAGCCCACATCTCAGGGCAGGACACAGAGGCCCTCTGCCAAGACTCCTGACCCAGTTGTCCTGGCAGCTCCAGAGCTCCAGCCTCCTACTCCTACAGACCAGCCTGTCACCACTGAGCCTACACCTCGGGCCATGCGGGGCAGGACACGGAGGTCTGCTGTCAGAACCCCTGAGCCAGTTGTCCCTGTAGTTCCTGAGCTCCAGCCTTCCACCCCCACAGACTGCCCTGTCCCCGAGGCTGTGGCTCAGCCCGCTGCAGTAAGCACTGCCCTGGTGCCTGCCACCCCTGAATCCCGCTCTCCCACCGCTACAGACCAGCCCGTTCCTCAAACCAGTCGCAGCAGGAGACAGAGGGCTCCTGGAAAGCCCGGCTCCCTCACAGACCCCACTGCTCGCAACTCATGTTCCACACACCCCCAGCCTGAACCCCGAGCCTCCAGGAGCCAAAGGCGAGGAGCCATGCGGGCAGCAGAGTCCCGTAGGCCCATGGCCGAGCCTACCTTTCCCCAGCCCCTCGAGGTACCCACACATACTCCTCAGGTTCAAAAGGTAGAGGCAGCAGGTAGAGTGAGGGTCACCCCAGAGCCCCAGCCTAAGGCCACTCAACACCGGAAGAGGTCTTTAGCTACTGCAGATTCCCCTCCACTTCAAAAACGGCCCCAATGCGAGGAAGTGCCCCAGAAGACAGCGGGCCTCGAGGAGGAAGATGCGGCAGAGAGGCCAGGGAAGGAAGAGGTGAGAGGGCTGGCTGGGTCACAAAGTAGGAACGAGAATGTGAGGGCTCAGAGACTCACTGAGATCCTTCTCATCCCAGGGCGTGGTCATTCCTGGACCAGGCAAGAGAAAGAGAGACCAGGCAGAGCAGGAGCCCAAGAGCATACCGAGCCGCGGCCTGCGACGGACCAAACCTGACCAAGAACCCACAGTCCCCAAAGTAGGAGAGCAGGGCTGGGGCTCGGTGGGCGGGGAGGGGAGGGTGGGGAGGACTGCAGCCATGAGAGCTGTCGTGGGTTACTGACTGCTCAGGCTAACCATCCCCCACACAGGTGCTCTTCACAGGCGTTCTGGACACCCGGGGAGAGCGGGCAGTGCTGGCGCTCGGGGGGAGTCTGGCTGAATCAGTGGCAGAGGCTTCCCACCTGGTCACTGATCGAATCCGCCGGACCGTCAAGTTCCTGTGTGCCCTGGGGCGGGGCATCCCCATCCTCTCTCTGGACTGGCTGCATCAGGTGAGAGGCCCGAAGCTGATTGCAGGCCAGTGGATAGTGGCG